CAATTTATAAAACCTTTTGCTTTTTTTTCAGCAAGCTTTTGCTGAACTTCTATATCCTTTCTCAGAATGGTACTTTTATTCCATTGCTAGCAACAACCACGGCTGTTACACTTTCTAAGAGATGCTCAGAATGCCTCTCAGGTGCAGCATCCAGTCCCCTCTGCTTGCTTTCTATTGCTACAGCTTTATTCTCCATGCCTCTTAACTGGTCTCTCTAGTTGTGCTGGCTGTATCTCACACCATCCCCTCTTTTGTCTGCTCCTTTATCAGACTCCATGACAGACCTGAAGTGTTTATCTTCAGCCCTAACCTGAAATGCTTCTGATTGTTCAGAACAGATCAACCAGAACTGGTGTTAGCATTGCAGTGGTCCTAGAGGCCCCACAGAGATCAGCTGTTTCCCACAGAGGTCAGCTCTTCAGGACAGAGAATGTTTCAGTCTGACTGTAAGGCCCTTGGAGCCATACATCATGGGCCATAATGCACAATGCAAACATGTATCTGCACAAACCAATGCAAGAGCTTAAAAGCTGTTTGAATACCCCTAGTAAATCTGTTTGATTTAACCAGAATTAGCAGCTAAAACTGAAGATGGGGAAAAGAATACTCAGAACACCAGGACTTGCTAAAAGTCAGAAGATAAGCAGAAAGTTGTATTTAGAGTTGAATCTCAGTGCACATGTTTCCAGGCCACTATCTTATCTATTAGCTTAAGTATAATCAAAGGTGTGTCATTCTCAACCATGTGTTTTTATTTTCTGTTAACTAGTTAAGTCCCTTTTATTGACCAACTGTTCCCTCAGTCAGGACAGCTGCACAGTTTGGATGAAAGCCAGCCACAAGGGTATCCCAACTAGAACTGTGGTAATTAAATCCAAATAATTAAGACATTCACGAGTGGCATGTGAAATCTCTGGAAACTGGCAATAAATTTTTTTGTGCAGGCTCATGTCACAGTGGGCTGGACGTGAGAGCTGCTGTGTGTTTCCATGTGTGTGGAGAGCTCACTTCTGTGGCCTTCTTATGGAGCAACCGATCAGTATGCAAATGTCAGCTTCCTAATTAAGCCCTATTTTCATGAGTTATTAAACAAGTAACCCACTCCCCCCAAAATAAACGTCAAAAATACTTTGAAATGGTTATACCAATTTCAACAAATTTTTGAGACAAAAAAAAAAATGCTCTCATGTTAACTTGTATACAAATCTTTCAGCAGACACAATTTAAATGCCAAGTTATTACACCATACTAAAGTATTTATACTGGAAATTGTGCATGACCCTTTTAAAGAGCTTCAGATGCATGCCACACTCCATCCACGGTGCATGGATACACTTCAAACTGCAGAAATGTTTAATTCTTCAATTTAGCTTATGAAACTTCTGTAGATTCAGTGTGCTGGACTTTAGCCCAGTCTTTAATACTCAGTCTGAAGCCTTACAGGGAGAATTCTGGAAAATGTTTTGGCATGGACAGACTTTTTTCTTACCTGCCCATATTAGACCAGAGAAACACTGGCAAAAAGTATGACTCAGTCACTCTGAGTATAAGGATGTTTGACACAAACAACCCAGTTGTGCTGTAAAAAGGAAAGGGGTAAAGCAATCCCTCAATTCTCTACTGTCCAGGTATAAATCATAGAAGTTCTTGTCAGTAAACTGAGAGGCTGACTTCGTGAATTACAGAGTAACAAGACTCACTTAAAGTCTCTGTTCTAAGGCATAACAGCATCCTCCACATCAATGAGGATTAGGTGGTAGATGAGGATTAATCTCAGCCACGTAAATAGGCAGAGCCTGATTTTTCCTTCCAAGCACTTCCTAGATTCCAATACTAATATTCTAGTGGACAGAGCCTACCTAATGTTGTTAATTAAAATCAACCTATAGAAGATGATTGACTTGTTTCCTAAAACTAGCAGGATTAACCTACTGCAGTGATCTTGGTAAAGAGTAGTGAGCTAGAGACCAAACCTTTCATTTAAAAAGAGGTATTAGCCCATAAACATTCCAGTTCCATTTCCTTAACCCAACTGCCAGGGCCCAAGAAGAGGCAAATAAAAAAGAGGAAGACAAAACACAGTTCTGCTTAGCAGTAATGCAGCAAAAAACCTCAGCCCTAATCTAAATCCAGAAAAGAGGCTATTTTATGTAGTGCTTTGATTACATGCAGCACACATACAAAGATTTTCGAAACTGGAGACAGGAACTGGATCTCTGATGAAAGATGTAAAATACTGAAAGCATTTATTTTTCACCTTGTTTGAGTTCAGTCAGGAAACACAGAGGTCTTGGAGCCTGCGGGCGAGTGCCCGGCGGTGCCGCGGCCCCGCTGAGCCCGGGATGCTGCTCTCGTTCCGCTGCCTCCCGTGCTGTCACCGCCGCCCTGGACATCCCGGGAGCCTCCCGAGGCCGGTCAGCGGCTCTGTGAATCTGCCCCTGTGCTTCTCTGAGACAGAAGGTGTCCAAGGCTTTTAAAAAATGGAGCCCACCTGTCTCCCCAGGCAAACTCTGGACCAGAGGCTCTGAGAAGGAATTCTGTGATGAGGGAAAGTCGTACCCATAGCAGTCGAGTCAGATTTACAGAGCAAGACAGAACACGTTCTGTGGTGCAGCTTTTGAGGATGCATAAAGAGAACATGGAAGGCTGATAGGCTCTTATCTAGTTAGAGGTGTCTGCTTGCCTCACAACATGAGTGTATTGCTATTTACACATAATACTCTAACTATTTTTTTTTATTTTTTTTAAGACACTGTAAGTCACAGCTGCCTCTTACTCCAGTCAGTAAATTCTATGTGGGCATGTTTGGGCACAACTGTAAAAGTGTACTTAATAACGAAATAGTGCCAAAACTCTAGCCTACCCTGCATTTGCAGGAGGTTTTGTCTTCCATAATTCTATAGATACCATAAATTATCTTCTGCACAAACCCAGGTTCTTATTAACCCTAATATACTACAGAAAAGCTTTATTTTTTGTTGGTGCTGACATTAGACAAGTCTTTCCTCAGATTTGCAGAATGGTCAGTAGATAAATTGTTGATATTGTTTCAGTGACTATTTTACCAATTCTAAGGAGCTGTTGCTGTACTTCCCACAGCAGTCAATTAGGTGATTGTAAACTTGTGGGTTATCATATTGCTCTGATATAAGCAGGTGATTTAAGAAGAATGTTTCAGAGCTGCCATGCCTCATGAAAAGTCTCTGAAAGTTCAGGACCCTTAAAGTGAGGTTTATCCTACCTCACAGGAAACAGACAAAATCAAGTGAGTTATTCCAAAGCAGAGAAACATAAGAAATATAGGCTGATAGCCACCATACAAAAGAAATATTTTCTATGGCTGGTATTCAACACCTTACCTCAGCTGTTCTTTCCCTGCAGGTAAGTGTCTCAGAGATGACTTCAGGTGAGTGGTATTCTGGGCTCTGCTCTTTGCAAGGCCTGGCATGTTTTACTTGACTGGAGGCTTGGACAGGCAAGCACTGATTCATCTCACTAAGTCAAGGTAATGACACAGCTCACTGAAGCCTCGTAAGCCATGACTGTCCTGCTGTCCACTCTGACCAAAGCTTGCTGCCCTCATGGCAGACACCAGAAAGGAAGAGGCTGTCCTTGAGCCCATTACTTGCACAGGCTCATATCTCTGCTCCATCAACTTTGTTGTTGTTGTTTTGGGGTTTGTTTTGTTTTGTTTTTGTAAATTATACTGGATTACATACTGGAGCTACTCAAGGGCAAGGACATCTTTCCTGCTCTCTGTGCTGAGGGGAATGCCATTATGAAGGCACGGCCCTTGGATGAGGTTGGTAATATTGCAACTGCTGTGGTGAGGATCTCGGGAGCACAGTCAAAAGTTTGGGGGCCATTTCCTAACCTCCTTTTGCCACTGACCTCTGATCTTTACATCAGCCCAGTATCTATATCTGCTCTATCTATACACCTTGTAAAGGTTGTGTGGGTGATACTGTATAGTTCAACTCATATGTCGCTGAGCAAAATGGCGCTTTCACTGCTCTTTCCTCTGTGGGTTTTGACACGGATCTTTCTGTGTAGATGTCCTGTCATCCCCCACTGTCAGACAGACATATGGAGGCCTTGGGGGTTACCCACGGAGCCCGGGTGTGCCCAGGGCTGTCTCTGGCAGGCTCTAGCAGTGCGGCCTGGCTACCCTCAGCCCCCTGGGCACCTCAGGCAAAGGGCGGCTATTTCTGCCGGAGTGAGGGCGGGATTTGGCAGCAGCCCTACCTTCCCATGACGTCTTTTCAAGCCGTAGTCAAAACAAGTCTGACACCTTTTCACATACCTTTTCACCCTTCTTTGAAGTACAAAACAGTAATTTCTGGGCCATGCTTTCTGAACCCCCTTTTGCAGCTCCGCCTGAGGGGGCTCGGGGCGTTTTCCTCGCTTTTGGGAGAGGCGGAGCAAAAGGCACGGGAGAAAATGGCGGGAGCGCCGTGAGGGGAGTGGAGGCGCCTCAGGGCAGGTACCCAACATGGCTGCTAGGCATGGGCGGCGAGCATGCTTGGCTGCTCCTGAGGGAGTCCTTCGAGCTGGCACACCTGTCTCCTTCCTCTCCATCCCAAGTATCTGTGATATCCCTGTGAAGAAATGGGAGAAAGTACTAGCAGCGTGCTTCAAGGAGGTTGTGCACCTACCACGGCTGCCATTGAGCAGGGCTGGGTTTGGCCCAGCAGCTCACATACATCAGCCTGACACAGTCAGGGGAAGCTTCTGGTCTGTAAAATGCTGTACAGGGATTTTTGTACTTGGTGGCAGGTGTTGCTAACACTGTCCTGAGCTACAGAGCTTTAAATTTGTTACCCCACATCTTGCTTCTAGTCAAGATGGAGGGGAATAAGTTGTTTTATGTGAGTGTAGGATTACTTAGATATTGATGAATCCATCTCCCAAAGATCACTTTGTTGCAAAAGCTCTCGTTGATTTAGGGGAGAGGAAAAAAAAAAAAAAAAAAAACAACCAAGAAAAAGAAAGTTGTTTGCTTAAGCTTTTGTAGTCAAAACTCTTTTTTTAATGTCTGGGTAGATGTTGGCTGTCCCTAAGTATTTTTCAGGGTGTGCTCATACAGCTGAACTGTCAGGGGTCTTGTTGCAAAGACCTGTGAAATTGGATCCTCTTTCCTGGCAACAGACAGTACCTGCCTCTGCCAAGTCCTTCTGCAGGGTTCAACCAGGCTGCAGCCAGCTCTTGCACATTGCTTGTTTTCTGGACAGCCCTCACCATTGCCAAAGGTAAACTCTCAAAATCTAGTTGCTGATGACACCGTTTGTTAGCAGCAATTTATCCCATGGTCAGGGATTTCCTGGGGAAGTCTCTGGAGTGAGCAGTCCCATGATCTTGCTGCTGTGAGCCTGCAATCTGTTTCCCAGAAGCAGATTAAGCCAGTGATGTTCAAGATCATCTTTGTACTGCTGAAACTTAGGTTGTGAAATTTTGTTTTACTGGACTCTTGATTAAAATTGTCATGTCCATTTATTATTTCAAAGGAAGTCTTATTTCCCGTTGTAAAAATTACACTTTTGGAAAAATTCCTAGACAGTAGAACTGAATTTTCCATTCTCAGTTACACATGTGGGTGTAGCTTAAGCCTGAAATTCCTGCGTTTCTTAAAAGATCTCTAGCATCATTCTGCTAAGCAATTAAAGAGCTATTCCCTCAAACAGAGAAGGGGAGAGAGATTTACTGCATTCTTTGTGAGCTGTTTAAATTCCTTGCAATGCTGAAGTTAGCTTGTTAAAGGCAAGTGAAAGATTTTATTACTGATCGAAGGTGTGTGGAGTCATAGTAGAAAATAGCTTTTTTAACAAATAGTTAATTAAAAAACAGATGTCTGATGACCTGAAGAGACAACTTTCTATACCATTCTCACAGATATTTGCTCTGTATTCAGACAGACTGTGCCTATGAGTTATTAAAAAACAAACCTAAACAAAACGAAAACCCCCAGAGCTGTGACATCTGGGAATTGAATCCTCGCTGCTGTTGTATACTTTATACTGCTCTCCTTAAAGAGTGGCAGTTTGACAAGGCACTTTTTTCTTGTCCTGGGAGATGAGGATCTGGGTGATGTGCTGAAGTGTGTGTTCCAGATAACAGCAGCCTGTTCACTGTGTTGGTTCAGCTCCATAAAATCTTCCAAGCTAGACAGGAATGAGTTACCAGAGTGGGCTGTGTGCAACAGTATCCAGTGTGTTGTGAATTTGGGAGTGTATTTGTTGGGGAAGGGCAGTATGGAGTGGAGATCTGCTGTCAGGTAAGCCCTTTTTTTTTTTTTTTTTTTCTCCTAAGAAGGAAGCCCCTTTTTGAGTTCTGACATCAACTTCAAAGAAAATGATAACAAGATATCCTTTTTTCTCCATTGTCAGTGGTTGAGATTTGGTGCTGTGCACAGCACACTGGTACGTATTGTTACATGGTAGGCAACATCAAGAATTACCAGCAGAGAGTAGTGATTCAGAATCTGCTTTCCTCAGCCTGTGGCGAGTGTTGTTTGTTTCTCCAAGCAATGACAGATGATAAACATCACAAGGAAAGGGGAGTGGATAGTATTGCCATAAGGTTACCAGCTGGAGGCAGAAAAATTACCAATCTGAACTGCCTTGTTGCCTGATCAGGAATTGAACTACTTTATAGAAGCGAGGGGGCCTGCTAAAAAGGCACAGCTCTGCAGTGAGGTGTGAGTAGTGGTGGTGGTGATGTCCCTTTTCTGGTGGTGACCTGGCTGCTGTACATGCACATCACCAGCCTCACAGGGCTCTCACCAAGGAAAGAAGGGAACCTAGAAGGTCACACCTTACATCTGTGAGACATCTCAAAAGTAAGACACAGACAGAGATGGATCTGCAATGGATCCATAATATTTCTTTTCGTCACACCTTACATCTGTGAGACATCTCAAAAGTAAGACACGGACAGAGATGACCTGCAATGGATCCATAATATTTCTTTTTAGAGCTTCGATACAGGCCTATAGGTAGAAGGCCAATAGTTAACAATTTATTAAAATACTAAACAGGTGAAGAAAAACTAGGCAAATTTGCCGAACACAGTAGTGGTTTTAAATCAGGACAGTCATATGCTTTTGTTTACTCTGTTCACTTGTCCAATTACTCCTTGCATAGATCAAAATCCAAGAAAGAAATGGAGGAATAAAATATGCAATAATTTGGCTTAGGGAAATTAGACTATGTCTTTCAGATATAATCAGCAAAATATTCTCTGCATCAAAGAGAATTTTAAATGCTATCAGGAAAATCTACTTCATACCTCAAAAATTCTGTATTGTGGAGTTTGAGAATGATAAACAGGCAAGCTTTTGGAAATCATGTAAGCAACTTGAATTGCTGGTACTTACAGAGGAGTTATGGTATGTGTATTCAGATTTCCTGAGAAAAAGAGTCTAAAGTGAAAAACTGTTGGGTGAAACTGCACAACAAAAAATTATTAGCCCCCTTGCTTCCAATTGTTCATGCTTGGTTAGCTTCCTCTAGGTCTTCCTTGGACTGATATTTTTCCTGTCCTTCAGATCCTAGGATAAGATATTTGAGTTATTTAAATGTCTGTGCAGGTACTACTCTTTTCATGTATCTATTCCAATTGATTTCCTCAAATAAGCAAGACAAAATTCTTGTAAATCCTAGAAAGCCTGTCATAGACAGGCATCATTTGTAAGAGCCTGTTCTTGGGCCCTCAAGCTGTTCCAAGACTACCATTATAAACCATGGAGAATCAAAAGAATAACAGTGGAACAATAGAAAATAGTTTCTTTTTGTGAAGTGTATATGAGATTCTCATTGTCAATTGGGAGCAGAGCATTGGAGGTTGCATCACAGCTCATCTGTGAATCACAGAGCAGATTTTTCTGAAGGTGTGTCAGTGTTGGATGAGCTGCTTCTGTTTGTGCATAGTTCATGACAAGTCTCTGTTTGAATGATTACTAATCTGCTGTCCTAAGTCCTCTCACTTGGGGTGTAAGAGGTCTCTCCTCTTTTCAGGAGGCATATGGAACAATTCTTAGCACGGCAATAGACTCACAAATTAAACCTTAAATTCCAGAGACATCTTTGTACTTTTGAAATTCAGTTGTTTTCCAGGTCTTTTGCTTGTAATACATTTTGTTTGTGTATTCATGGTTTGTTTTGGATCCTATATTGAGATTATCTGCAAATTAAGCTAGTAATAATACTTCACAGCCATGTAAAAAAATATACCCTTTTATCCTTTCTTTTCACTAAGCAGTTCTCTCGCTTCTTCCTTTTTTATATCAAGCACTGTTTCATTTTCTTCTCAAATGCGTTATTGTATATGAAATGTCAATAAAGCAGGAGGTGTGCTAGTGGAGCCAAGAGAGCAGGTCTCCCAAGTTCTCTTCCAGGGATATCTTATTTAGTTTGTACATAATGAATCAAATTGAGCTGCTTCAGTTGAGCTGCTTCTTCTGTCTTGGAGGAGATCTCTTTTTATCTAGCCTTTGCTTTGAAAGACATTCTTAGATTATATTTCACATTTTTCCTAGCTTCATATGGATTAGGTTTCCTTTCAAAGCTATAGCTTGACCACACAAATTCATTCAAAAAATAAAAACTACTATATTAAATTCCAGTTTGAGACAAGAACTTTGACTTTTCTAGAGGAAACCTCTCTAATTGTATTTTTAGAAATAAAGTATTAAGTAGTCTCTTTCCTGCCTGTCCAGAGTGGTTTGCTTGTAAGGATCCTGTGTCTGCATAGCTGAATGATTAAGCAAAAACTCCTAGGTGGTGTTCATATATTCATTATCGTGCTCAGGACGTGAGCCAGGTCTGTACAGTGAATAGTTAGTGTGCTCTGGGTCACATTACAGCCATGTTAAAGGTTTTGAGCAAACAGCAGCCTCTGGGGCTGAGGTTATCAGAAGAAGGGTGTTCCCCTTTCCTTCCTGCTCCTTAGGCAGGAAGGGCAGACAAGGGAATTTGGTGCTTTGCTCTCTGAATTGGGATATCTTCTATTTGAATATGGGGTTTGGAAGTAGACCCTGAGGAAGAGGTTGGGAAATGGTTTGTTAGGAGTTTTCTTTTTCCTGCCATGGGTGGGGAATGTTTTGATTGGCCTCCTCAGTATATCTTTCAAGGTTGTGGCTGAATGTGCATGTCAGAGAGGGTTCCCTGAGCTCAGCTGTGAGGGAGCAGAACTGAGCTTTGCTACGCCTCTACCACACATTATGGTAGAGAATAGAATATTCTGTGCTGAGTACTAGAATAGACTAGGATAATGCTTCTAATTTCTGTGACTAGACTGTAAGTTCAGCCAGATGATGATAAGTGCTATTCTGCTTTTTCTTTGCTTCTGTGATAGGAACCCTTGGTACAGCAAAACAGGAGCTGGTGATGTCAGAGAACTGGGATTCCAGAAAGAATTGTTGACCTTACCTCACTTTGAGAAATTGCATGGGTTAGCTTTTCCTTACAAGACATTGTCCAGCCTTTCCTACGTGAAGGATTTCTCATGTTTCATTTAAGCTGATTATGCTGCCTCCCTCCTGCTCTCATGAATTAATACCAGTGTGCCTGACTCTATCCACTCTGAAAATAGCTATTGATACAGATCACAGCTATTTATATCTGCTGGTGTCAACATGACGCAGGCACATGTTCCCAGAAGAAATCTGCCTTTTTACAGCTTCTCCATCAATGCAGTTAAAAACACTTCAAACACAGAGAGAAATTGAACAAAACTTGGAGTGTTCTCCATTCTTCCTTTTACCTGAAGAAGATGCAGAAAGTTGCATGTTCTGATAGATTTAAATGTTTTACTTTAAACCTACCAGAATTTGCCCCTGCATTTTTTCAGCTTTAAAACTAGACTTTTTCAAGTCATGTCGTGTTTAATGTATCCCCAGTGTACAGCAGCAGATTAGCTTCATGTCCAGGAATGCAACCAGAAATATTTACCATTCTGATCTAGTGACTTCTTTCCACAGAAGTAAGTCTTCCATATGCTTTGACATTTTGGTTCCTGAACTGCTGTCATAATTGTGCTAAGAAAATCTGATCAGGATTGAGTAAGTCAGAGACATTTTGTGCTCCAGATCTTGAACTTTCAAGATTTAGATGTCAGAGCAATCTAATGAAGCAAAGAAACATACTCATGGACCAGTTGAAAAACAAGTGTGGTGTTTCAAGGAGGATGTCTGAGACACTGATGAATGGAAAATTTACATTGTGTGCCTGCATCTCCTGATAGGTAGTTGAAGTGGCAGTACATTTTTTTCATATATTTGTGATCCTCTATTTATAATTTGGAGTATGAAGATGCATTAAATCTATGTATCTGGGACAGAGGCAGATGAGGATAAAGAATATTTGTAAATATATTTATACACTTTGTTAGATCTCAATTTTTTTGATTGTGCATTTCAATAAACTCTGGTGCAAAATGCTAGTTCCGAAATAAGAAATATCAAAACAATTAATTTCAATGGTTCAATATTACTAATATTTCATCCAGAATATTTCAGTGCTCTTTATTTTGCCATGTGCATTGAATTTTGGCAGAATTTTTCACTGTTATGAAATATGACCCACATGACTGCATTGGAGCGTCATGTAAAAGCAGCACATCAGTTTGTATATATCTGCAGAAGAGTTATTTCCAGGGCTGATGGAACAAAGTAAAGAGTGAGAGAATCAATTTTTCTAACTGCCAGCTCCAGAAAAGCATGAAGTTCAGTGGGAGCAGAATCCTCCAGCAGCCCAGTGTAAGAGACAGTGTGGAGTAGGGGCATCAGAGCAGTGCCATATGAGCAGGCTCTCTGAGATGGGTAACATGAGAAGGGCTAAATTAGACTCTCCCTGGGCTTAAGTGAATTTATGGGAAAGTCCCTCTCCAAGAGTTTCAGGAGCAAATTTCAATGCCTAGGGGCAAGCTAGAAGCAAGAGGAACTTGATTTGACATTTATGAATTGCAGAGAGTGACAATCCTTAAATAAACAATGACAAAGGGAACAAATTTTTCTAAACCTCACAGTGGGATGAACTAAAAACAGCACAGTTGCAGATTAAGAGTGCTGACCAGCATGTTAAAGACAAATAGCTGTAGCATCACTTGTATTTATTTATTTTTAATTTTGTGAACATTCAGGCGGCTCTCTGACTAATCAAAAAGAAGAGAGAGTTGCATTCTGTGTTGTTCTGAACAGGAAACCAAGTTGTATACGTGCAGGAAAAGAAGACAGAAAGTGGCCAGACAGGAATTTCTGAGTATCTGAGGTCAAGGGTCGGAACCAGTTATGGTAAATTTGATGATCCTACAATATCAGAGATAGTTTTGGGATTCCCTTTTCCAACAGAAGATGAGCTGTGGCTATGAAATTTCTCTCATTTTGGTCTGTTGTGGTACAAACACTGCTTATAGAGCTTTAAAGACCAGCAAAATAAATCTGTATTGAAATGTTCTTTTCAGGCTGGAAAGAATTTAAGGAGCTTAGTATGAGTTTCCTTCTCACCTCATAGCATCTTCTAGTAAAAAAGAAAACCACAACAAACCAAACAAAATAATTGAATAAGAAATCAAAACAATAAATGTAACAAACTGAAACATCCCTATCAGATCTCTATCCAAGAAATTTTAAAACCTTTAGTGTTTCAGCTGCAATGTTCACAGATAACCTTTTGCTAGAAAATCAGAACTGACTTAATTTTCTTCCATTCTTCAGAATGCCATAGAATGGATGTCCATCGCTGGATCTGGCTGTCAGGTATGTGAAGTCATTCAAAAACAGATGAGAAGAACCACACGCTCCAAGTCTTGGCTTGGTTTGTTTCACCAAGATCTCCCTGTTGTTGCAGTTGTCTGCAGAGGAATCAATTACAAAGGAGAGAGCCCTTCAGGGTTGTAGAAGCACTGAGAAGATAGGGTCTTCTTCAAGAAACTTGCAAACACCAATACACCTAACTCATAGTCAAAAGAACTGATGTGAGCATGCAGTCAGGTAAGGAAAGGGGTCCAGGTCTTCAGCAGCCCTGTTCAGTGCCAGATAACAATAGATGCTGTATGATAAACTGTCTACCCCCATGTACAGAAAGGATCAGGAGTTAACTATGCTTTCTGACATCATCACAAATAACCATTTGTTAAAAAACATGTCACAGTGTTCCGGTAGCCTTCAAGATTTTTGAATGATAAACCTTTTAGATATTGAGGATCATTAAACTATAAGGCACTTTTTAATGGGGGCACACTTATTATGAAGCAGATTGCATTCATAACTCACAAATTAGCTGTCTAGCACCTGTATTTTCATTAATTGCTTGCACTGAAATTACTACTTTCCTTAAAAGATGTTCTTGATATTTCATAAGGTTTTTATGGTAAACAGGTGATTTTGGATGAAGGTGACATAACCCTTACAGTAGGTTTTGGCAGAGAAGTTTCAGGTTTTGTGCAAGCTGAGAAGTTGAGTTGGCAAGTAAAACAAATGTCCACCTTTCAGTTCACAGGCCTGTGTGAATGGTGTTTGCTGTTGCTTAATTGTAGTGGTTTCATGTTGCACATCCCTTTTCCTTTCTCCACTCAGGCTGGCTCTGGGTTTTGAGGTTTAAAAAAGCACAGGTGCTTTGCGAAGCAAAATTTATTGCTCTCAACAAAGGAGTGCTCTGGGATCCTCCTCGATCTCTAACAGCTGCATTCTTTCAAGCTTGGTAATATATTCAGTGATAATGAAAGTAACTAGCTCATTGTGTTGGTATGAGCCAGGTGTAACATAAATAGACATTGTGCAAACAACTCCAGACTACCAAGGCAAATTATTTCAGGTTGATCCTGGCCTCCTGTAAACACAGATGGATAACTGAGGGGAAAGTCTTTGTCTGAAAGCTTACCACTGTTATCTGTAGCTCTGGCACCTGGAGATCTTCCCAAGGAGTGAAATGCATGACTTCCAGAGCAGGATCCCTGCCATACTGCCTTGAGAGAGCAAATACTAATCATTTGATTAAACCCTTGAAAACAATTGTGTTTAGCACTAAGCTGAAGATCCAGCAAACCATTAGAAGAGAGCAGCTTCCAAATGATGCACATATAGTGTCCCCTTCCTAGACCTGGAGTTCTCCAGAAACATGGGAAAAGAGCATCAGAGCAGATCAAAATGCTGCCTGTTGTTTCATGCATTTGTGACCAGCAGGCAGATTGTAGAAGAGCTTTCTGGAGGGGAATCACCAGCATGCTGGTACCTATGTGTCAGTTAGCTGACAGCTATACTGTTTAAAAACGTGGTTGATACCAAGCCTTTAGAATTAACATTAGCCCCAGGCAGAGAAGCATGTTGGAACATTGGCCTCCACTTCCCGCTGGTCTCATCACTTACCCACCCTCTTGCTATTGGGGCCTGGATGTGAGGAATACCTGAAGCTGTAATAATCAAGACCTGATGAGCATGTAAAACTGGGTGAAGAGGAATTACTGGAAATCTGAGACCCCTCCCTGCATTTACACAGCAAACACCTTTATAATTGATGTGTGTATTTATGTAGTTTTACTAGTTACAAATATATAATAAATAATGCCTTGGCAGGTCAAACATTTAAGGTACAATGAGTCATTCTCAATATTGAGTGAGAAGCCTTGGTCGCAGAATTTTTTATTGAGGCAAATCAGTGTTTTAAATGCACATCTCGAACTGCTTGTTAAAGTAAATGCCTGTGGTATGACTAGGCTAGAAGGAGGAAAGAGAAAATTCACTGTGCTTTCAAACTGGAGCATACATCGCCTGCTCTAACTTCAAGTTTTATTGGAAGTGCTCCGGTTTCGCCTAAGTGGACAGCAGCTTGGCAGAAGTTTTCCACACCATCTTTTTATGTATATTTACCAGCAGTAATCTCAAAAACTACTGAAATTAAACCTGTCAGTGAGACTGTGGTGTAAATCTCTCTCTGTGCCCAACCCACAAAATGTTATTAGTCAGCTGTTGCCCCAGCCAGAAAGTGTTAGCTCCTGAGTTTGGGCTGTGGTAGCTCACATGTTCAGCTTGGGACAATACATGGAGTGCCAGCCAACATGACTGTTCTGTCAGAAACAAAAGCTTGTGAACAGTTACTCCCTGCCTCTGAAGAAAAGGTCATTGTGTCCAGGGAAAGAAGAATGCAATAGACTTACACCTTTTAGCCATTGTGTCTTCCTTCCAGCTTTTATAAGAGTAACGTGGATACCACCACAGCAAAGAACCTGTCAAGTACTTCCTTTAACTCCTTATATGTCTGCTGCCACATTTTCGGCTCCATGTTTTCAGCATGGAGTCATTGAACAGTTTGGTTTGCAAGAAACCTTTAAAGGTCATCCAGTCCGACCCTCCTGCAATGAGCAGGGACATACTCAACTAGATCTAGTTTGTTCAGAGTCCTGTCCAACCTGACCTTGAATATTTCCAGGGATGGAGTACCTGCAACCTCTTTGGACAACCTATTCCAGTGTTTCATCACCCTCATTGTAAACATTTCTACCTTATTTTAGTTTGAAACCATTACCCATTGTCCTATGACAGAAGGCCCTGCTCAAAATAACCCCCATTTACTGCTGGACTGAGAGCTCAGTACAACAGCTGTCAAAAGACATTAGAAGTCACAATGTATTTCCACAGTTGTTTCTTTGAGATCCAAAATATATTTTGAACTATGTTGCACTGCAGAGAAGTGCTTTGTTCTTGTAGAACAGATTCAGGAATGAGTTGGATGTGACAGAATCTTCAGCTGGGTTCTTTTCTCATTATTACTAACTGGGCAACCATACAAATATTTGTATTATTGTTGATCAAATGTTAGAGTGCAGGGAACAAGCCTCAGTCTTAGCTGATCATTAACTCAACCTGATTCTTTCTTTCTTGGGTTTATGAAGGGAACTACAAGTAAATGGCCTAGGAAGTAGCCCTGTGTAAAAGGGGTTGGGTAGGAGATAAAGGGATAGTGGATTATAAACAAATGATGGTTTGGGGATTTTTTGTTGTGCTTTTTTAAATTAACAGGGTTAAAAAAAAAGCCACAGTGAAAGTATTTAATAACTTAAACAAAAGAGAATCAATATGTTGCAAGAAACATTGCCTGAACACAAGAGTGTGTGGCAATTGAGAGTAGAAGTGCCCTGGGCCGCAGAAGTCTGCTTTCTTGTTTCAGCTGCAGGAAATAAAAAAAACCAGAAAGCACAGTTGCCAGTGCAAGAACTAACTCCAGATTTGAAAGCCTTCCTGTTGAGAAATACTCCTTTCATAAGCGTGAAAGTGTGCTCTTCATAATTATAATCAATCTTCCACCTCATTATTTCTTTAATGTTTAGAAAATTATTTTTAATGCTTAGAAAATTTAGCAACCTTCTACAGAAATGGTAATATCAGATACTGTTATTTTGTATGCTATGTAAGTGTAACGTGAGCTGTTTTTCCATTTTTTCAAAATCAGTCTTCACAGATTCTCTCAAGCTAGAGAATATATACAGATGCTCATATATCCAGTCCTTCTGCTCTGCAAGCTGTGCAGTTTTAATGCATCTATTAGTGTAGAATCCAGAAATAATATTTTGCTAAGCCAACTCCTGTTTTATTTTTTAATATTTTTCTCTTTCTGTTCTTTTTTTCCTCCTCCTCTTCTCTCTCCAAACAGTGTGCCTTTCAGCATGGAATTTCCTGCAGGCAGAGCAGCAATGTAGCCCTTTGCAAGTCCTCCACATGTTCCATAGTACATGAAAAAGTTGTGCTGTCAAAATCAGGTTCCCACCTGCTGCCTTTGGAAATGCTGTTTTGTTTTTGTCTAGGAAGAGAGGCAGGGGCCCTGCTTGATGCTTCTTAGGGAACAGCAATTTGCACAGTGTGTACAGCTCATCCCTCTGAATTCCTGTGTTTGTGGACTCCTGAGTTTCACATTGTAACTGTTGGCAGTCAGCTTTAAAATGATGAAAGACTGAGGAAGCACACAGGTGTGTGAAAGAAATGGGAACAGAGAGCTTGCCAACCCTGAAGCATTTTGCACAGCTAAAAAGCCAATAGTGTCCTTTTGCTCGTGGCTGCTGTACTTAACTTCAGCTGCCCAATAGATGTAAGAATAAGCTTACTTTCATTGAAAACATATTTGAATTTAACTAAGAGTCTTCTCTGCTCTTACTGTTGTAACAGTCCTCACAATGTGTATTGCAGGGATCACAGCATATCCTCAAGAGAAATTTGAGTATAAGACACACATGTGGAGCAAGATGGATATACTTGTACTGCTTTTAGACCTGGATTTCAGAAGAGTCGGGCTAAAATTTCCTGTGATCCTTTGAAGAATGAGTATTTAGAATGTGTCTCTTTCTCTCCTGCTTGAATGGAAGCAATGTGCTTGCTTTGATGTGAAGATAAGCAGGTAACGTTTCCTTCCATGTGTCCTCCTGCACTGTCTAAACACTGAAACATGTCCATCATCTATGAATTCCCCTTATGCTGGTATTTGTGATCACAGCATGGTTTTGAGTATGCTAATCAGCCTCTGAAGTCCAAATCTCAGGATCTGAAGTGGTTGGAGTGGTATGATCTCTCCCTGAGTTGTACCTGTCACTAGGTGTAGTAGCAGTGCCCTTCTGTGTTAGGTTTATGTGCATTCTGAAAATCATTGCCCGCAGAAGAGTTTAAAAAGTTAAACATGAGGATCTACTCGGTGTTTAAGTGGCTTAGATCACTCAGTTCTCCTGATACCATATATATAATTTCTGTTATTGCTGATCATAAGCACTTTTCAGTGTGTTGAGAAGCAGTTTTTTGCATGTGCCTGATCATATGTACAGTATCATGAAGTCCTTATATTCAGACCAGTAGTAAGGTTACGTCTACACTTCACCATTTATTACAGGGTTAGGAATATTGCAACAGCGCCACTAAAGACCAGAGCAAGCACATTTTTCCTGAGGGAGTAGACATCTGAAAGCAGCAGTTAGATTCTTCAGGACACAGCTTCTACCTCAGAAGAGGTATAGCCTCCTTTCCTGCCTCTAATACCAGACCTAATTATGCACTACTATACTTAATGATGCATTACTGTATTGGGTAGGGAAGGTATTACATTCCCTGTTGTGGAGCTTGACAAGTATTGCTATGTTGACTAGTATTGCTATTATTTTCAGCCAAGTAAGGGAGTACTTATTACCAGACTGATGCAGTGGTATCTGAAATCAGATTCTGAATCTCTGTTCTTAACCACATCGTGTTCTAATTTCTTTTTGTTTGTTGATACAGCTTTAAGTGAGTGGTTTGATTTTTAGTCAAAGCCCAGGTAGTGCTTGATGCAATATAGGACTGATTTTCTGCTCCACATTTTTTTCTTGAAACAAAGATTAATCCATGGCTGAACCATTAGTTTGAGGGGAAGACAAAATATAACAGAGGATTGTTTATGCTATGGAATGCATATTGTTGACAACTGTGTGTTATGTAGGGCAGAACAATCATGTGAAGATGGAATTCAGGTCTCAATTAGAGCCTGTGTGAGCCAGTGGGTGATGTTTAAGGCTCTTTGCTGTGCACAGGTGCAGTCAGGTGCACATCCATCAGTGCAGACAGAGGAGCTCAACACAGGAAAGGGACAGGTTGGAGAGTCCTGCAGGCTGCCAGCTGGAGCAGCCTTACCTGTGGGAAACTCCTCAATGCTTCTTCTCTTTTACATTGTTGTGGCTGTAATCAGGCTCAAAATGCCAAAGACTAATTGTCCAAAATTTCTACCAATAACAAGTAGATCACAGTAACAAAAAAAAAAAAAGCAGAACAAATTGCTGTTTTGCTGGTGCCTCTCACCGTGAGTCTCTGAGTTGTGTCCAAGGTGTAGGCATCTTTTACTGAGAATTGAAGGACCAGTTTTAGGATCATCACTGTGTCCAAGAGGCTCCAGCAATATCTGAAGCTGCAGGAGTGAATGGCAGAACTAAACACTTCACTTTACTAATGCTGCCTGTTGACTGTTATGCCCTACAAGTCTCCACTGCACAGTGACAAAGAGCTTTTCCCCTACCATCTTGTAGCAGTCAGCAATCTTCAGCCACGTAAGTTTAATTTCTCTTCAAAACCAGACTTAGCAATAGCAAGATGGTCCTCATGGTTCTTAATCAAGTGGGCACAGCATGGAAGGAATCCTGTGTCTGTGGAGCTCTGTAGAGCCTTTGCTATCATAGTAGTGGCTCTTAACTTCCTGAAGTTGCCTGCTTTCAGCTAAGGAGGCCTCTTGTGAAAATATCTCAGTTCTGAAACCATATTCATAGGCAAAACATCATGTGTGTCAGGAACTACAGATTTTTTTTTAAATATATGGATATGTTGGAATCTGACTTCTGCAACAACTATAACAAAATGCAGACTGAAATGTAATTTATGTTTGCTTTACAATCTATGACTTTCTAAGTCTTGGTTTTTTGGTGCTGTGCAAACCAGAAATCTCCCAGCTCCTAATTACAAATATTTGAGGAGAGGTTCATGTTATTTTACTGACAGTATATAGTGACAGGCCAAAGTGATGTCTGTTATCCTCCTGCACCAACTGTCAGCTGACCCACAGTCAAGCAGTTTTCTTACTCAGTATCAAAAGAAGACACTTCAGTCTCATGTTCCCCGTGCTCACTTGAAGTTGTCGCATTTATCCTACCCTGTCATCTATCCAGTGAAGTGTGACAACATAGCTTGAAAGTGTCAAAGGTTGTAGCTTTTTTTAAGAGTATCTGTTTCATCTCTCCAGAGGTTATTAAAAAAACTAATAACAAGCTTGAGAATAGATAGAAAGGGAGGACCTGTACAAAAACAATCTCTTTAAAAACAATAACAAAACCCACCAACCTTTGTGTGATCCAGGATAGGGTGGGAGGGGAAGTGAAAAAATGCAAATTCTACCTCTTAGGTGTTTTCTATGTCTTTTTCTAAGTGAGAGGTTTCTGTATCTGCAGCCATGGCCCCAAAGGGAAAAAATGGATTAGAGTGAGATATCATGTTGCAGAAAATTAGTGTTGCAGTTGTCCCTGTACACAGACAGAACCTTGGGCCTGAGTCATTCCAAGCCTGGCTTCTCACCCAGTGGATTGTATGTCACTGCACATGTCCATGCCAGTCTTTAATGCACTTGGCAGTGAAATCTAGGGATTGGATTCTCACACATTACTGAGAAGCTTAAACCCATGTCATTCATGACTACAAGTATATTTAGGAACTTTCTGCAGTCAGGAATACGTGAGAAGTATCTGTCTGGTTGACTGTTGGGCTTTACAATGATTCTGCTAATACTGGGTACTCCTGTTGTTTGGCTTCAAGCAGTGAACTGAAAGCATGCCCTATAATGAATAAAACTTAGCTGGAAAGAATTCTTTTGTTCTTACATGGGTTTGCTGTCATCTCCTGAAATTTTATTCATTTCCTTTTGGAAATGTCTACAACAATCAAAGCTTGATATGGTTGCCAGCCATTTGGTTTAAATAAACAGCTGTATTGATTTACAGAGATGCTGGGCCCTGTGCCAGCTTTTTCTTTGCATTACTAGAGAGTCCGAAAGGTCCCTGACACCGTGTGCCCTTGGCTAAGCTCTGTCTTGTCTGCTACATCCTACTGTATTCAGTTTCTTTCCACATGTGAAAGAGGACTGGACATTAAAAATGTAACAATTTATGGTGTGGAAACTGGAAGTAGCCAGCTAGCTCTTGGCTTGGTTCTTTTCATCCCAAGCCCACATGTTTCTCAGCCCCTCTGGGAATCCCAGCATTTCCTTTTAAGCTGCTTTAAACATGATTCTCTTTCTCCATCTCTGCTTTTTATATTTTATAAAGAAAATCCTTGGAAAATTACTTTCTTGGAGACATTTCCTTTCAGAGACTATACTAGAGCAGAAAATATAATTAGAATGGAAGGCATTGACTAAAGGTTTTACACATTTGTCCTTTAACAGGCTATTTTAACACTAGGAGTAGTATAGCTAAGGCAAAATAGACTGTAAAATCAATTTTAAAAGCTGGCTAAATACCTATACTGTGGTTTTTCAGTTAACCTTGTACCACCATGGCAACAGTGCTACCAAGCTAGTTCAGATGTGGTTGTGGGAATGATGGCAGCACAGCCCAGAGTCTTTCTCTCTGCCATGGAGGCAGTGTCCTTTCTGTGCATCAAACAAGGTGCCCCAGAAATGGCCTGATAATCTCTGAGGCCCCTTAGCTCTTTAAAGCATGCTCAGTGGGGAATAAGCCATCTGGTTTTAAACTTAGATGGCCATCAAAAAGGTCTGGCATGTGAGCACTGCTATGGAAGATCTAGATTTTAATTTCTTGTGTTTGTTCAGAGTCAGAATGACTAAAGGCAGCAGGCACCAGCTGTTCATTCTAGTGGCAACTACCTCTTTAGGAAACCAGTAATGTGACTTGTGAAAAATGCTGGGACACAAATGTGATCATAATTTAGAACTTCCAGTAAATTCAGATTAACATATAATCAGCAGGAAAAAGAAACATAAGAATCTTTATTCCAGTGGCTCATGATCAGCAGACAGAATTCATCTCAGATGAGTTTTGTGATTAGTTGATAAGGCACTTAGAATTTTTTTCACCTTACTCTTCTGGACTTTGATCTTATCAAACTCTTCAGGTCTGCCAGCCTGGCTAGTGTGCAGAACTTTACAGCATCTCCAGAATGAACAGTGGTTAAAACAGCAGCTCCCTTTGGGGTTCTGTCAGCTCATCCAGAAGTTGATTTTTAGCAGTAGACTCTGCTATTAGCCACTCTGCCAATGGAAACCCTAAGTCCAGTTGTAGGCACACAGGTTGTGGTAATTGGGAATGGGCACAGCTGTGAGCAGCAGGTGAGCAGCACTGACAGCAATGAGCCATGGAGTGCCCAGGGGCACTGACCAACCCCCAAAGGGAGCAGAGGCACACAGGGGCAGTGCATCAACATGAGGGGTGTAAAAGGTTGGGCTAAAGAACAAGAATGGCAGGCACCTGCAGCCTTCTGAAGTGGTGTGATCCTGT